AGAAATTTGCACAGTATGTAGGAATGACAACATCTGTATTCTTAAAGAGATTCTCCAACATTAGGCTGTCTATAAAGGGTCAAATTCTGACCTCACAAATGCCAGGGGAACCCAGTACATAATTTTCTATCACAAAATGGAAATTCTAGTATAAGGAAAAAAAGTCCTCAAATAATAGCAAATGCTACAACAACAGAAAGGACTGCACAAAGTGCTGACTTTTCACTTTGAGCCAAGATTTACTCTGAGCCAAGATTTTTTCCTCTGCCTGGTTACTGTATGGCAGCGGTGGCTCTTCCTTGCCGAGGCAAATGCCGGTGAGAGGCAGCACAGCACTTCCTCCCCGCACCCAGCAGATCAACCTCATGGGACTGCAGAGCACCCACAGTGTTTTCCAAGGCTGTGGAGGCTACTAGGTGCAACCCAGCCAGTGATGGGGCCTCAAAAAACACTGTGGACTTCATACTGAAACTGAAATACCAACTGCAACGCAAGTTTACAATGTCTGAGGGTTACAACTGGCTTTTCAAGGCCAATTTTTGGGTACTTGTCTCCTGTCATTGGCTCAAATCCAGCCTGTGTCTAATCACTGATTAGTGATCTCAGTCCTGTGGAATCAATATCCTCCATATAACAAGAATTTTTGTTAACAAATACTGCAGTGCAGGACTCTGCACTTCAAACTGGAGGAGGAGGATGGTATGGCCAAAGCTCTTACTTCAATGTTACCATCATGGCTGAACTGATGGCCTTGGGTACCGACTTTGCAATTGCTGTGAGAATCAATCTATGGCTGTACAAGCAGAGGTGTTCCCTTTTGCAAAGATCTGGCATATGTTTTGTCTTAAACTGTGGAGCAGACTTAACTAAACAACTTCTATAACTGTGAAAAGCATTTCTTCCTTATTTGCATGCCATAGCATTTTGCTGTTGAGTGTTCAGCTTCGTATTTGTAGTATTTTGGAGAACTAGTTCTAAATAAACAAAACCAAAGAGGGACTGGTAGGTTTAAGCTGATTAAGTGTCCTTCAGCGTTGAAACATGTTGATTTAAGCACAGAAAGCTCCATTAATGCCTATTTATGATCTATTTTTAGAGTAATTCCAAGCAATTAATATTTATATGACTCAAGCACCCAGGCTGAATTCTAGCCAGGCAATAAAAGGAGATTTTTGTAATGCTAGAGAGACTCTTGAGCAGATTTGGAGGAAAATACAAATCAACTGTTAGGGTGATAAAGCCATGCACACTAACTCAGTTTCTGGAGCTCTTAATAACTCAGGAAATATCCACACTAGAAAATCAGACATACACCAGCACATTGGAGCAGCACCTCTGGCTTTGTAATGTCTGGGGCTCTGCGCAGTTATGGTGCAGGGAGAGGCTGGAAATAGGCTCCTTTGTCTCTGTTCCCTGTTTTCCTCTCAGCAATGAAGTATGTGAGAAATACTGATGGGAAGTTTCCTGCAGAGACATCAGGCAATGAGAGATGGACAGACATACATGCTGGCAAACACTCTTAGAGGCAAATACTCTTATATGTTCACAAAATCCCTTTCACTCCCTTTCTTTCCATGTGAACTTTAAACAAACCAAAGCCTCCTTTTCTTTCTTACTTTCTTTTCTTGGGAATGGTGCTGCAGTGCAGGGCAGAGTGGCCGTCGAGGAGGGCTGGGAAAGCAGCTGCAGACACTCAGTAACCTCTGCCAGATAAGCCCTTCAACATCGCACACACGTGTTGCCCCAGATAAATTCTAGATTGAGTAATCATTTCTGGAAGGCAGTGGGGAGGGTGGTGCTTTTGTGTCTAAATGAGGGCAATGAATATCAGGATACCTGAGCTAGTGACAGGGGAACAGCATATGAAGAAAGAGGGTGCAGAGGAGACCCCTTACCCTTCTGGAGCAGCACCTAGGGCCAGGAAAGATACCTGAGGGTGCCTAATGGCACCTACTTTAGACACCTTGGAAGGAGTAGAAGGTTAAGCACTTCACAAGTCTTCAGCACTGCAAAAAATTATGCCCCGCAGTCAAGATTTACACTTGAGAAAAACTGTTTTAGGCTAAGAAAGCAGAAAGGAAACAGGCAAGGAAACTAATAACCCCGCTTTCATAAAGCATTTACTTTTTTTTTATTTGAAAACATTATACAGGCATTACATTGCCACAGCCAGTCCATATAGGTGCATGCAAATATCAAAATGGAGAAAGGTTTGTTCAGCTTTTTGATGCAGGATTTGGGGTTGGGATTTTGTTTGCTTGGTTTTGGTTTTGATTCATATTTTCATCTGCGGAGTCAAGATTAGTGTGCTTTATTATGGCATTTAACGATAAAATCCTACCCATGGGGTAAAATTCGTATTTGTAGCTAGCTCAGGAATACTAAATGATTTAAAAAAAAAAAAAAGAAAGAAAAGAATACTACACGCTCGTCAAAATGTTAATAGCACAAGTTAGCAATCTCTACACTATACATTGAAACTCCTTCTTATGACACAGTGGTGCAAAATTTTCAATTGCTTGGTCTATCGTTGTGTGTTTTGCAACTTTATAGCTGGAACAAAGACAAGGTCTGTCTCCCAGTGAAGGTTTTCATCCAGTAGCAGAAAACTACATCAGTCTTGCTAAGGGCTGCTCAGCAGTGTTATCAGAGTTTCAGTTTGTTCAGGCCAGGAGCTACACAGAGCTAGAGACGTCCTACACAACACGGAGAGTAGCTGCCGGTTAGATAGGCTGAACCTTTGCTGGTGCTTACTGAGGTCTCAAACTGCAGCAAACAAGCAGGTAGAAGCAACGTTTTCCTTTACCAGACCTCAGTTTTTCAGTCAACGCAGTTGCTTGTAAAGCTATACTACTGTTCTCCTCGGAGGTCCATTCGGCACTAGCACACTGGTGCTAATCCAAGCATCCACCTTGTTTGATGGGAGACACAAGACAGTGAAGCAGCCCCACTTTGCACATCAAACTCCTCCCGTGCCAGCAGCAGAGGGGATGGTGGCTCAGCGCAGAGTGCACACTGAAACGTCCGTAGCTTATTTCCGCACGACAGAGCCATTTAAAGTAGCCTATAAAAATTGCTTCAGGTGGCACCTCTCAGCCACTCATGGATTGCAAACCCTTGTAAGTAGAAACTCCCAGCCTGGTGGCCTGGCTGGGAGATGCCTCCTGCCCAGCTGTTTCTGAGAAGACTCTAACAAACACCTACAAGTTAGTGTCAGAAAAATGAGGAAGGGGAGGCACAAAGACTACAAACATTTGGCTTAAAAATAAATACTAATAATGAAATTAACCAAAACAATTATGCAGAAGGAAGGGATTGTAAACATGAAACAAACACACGCGTACGCAATCCTCAGGGTTCTCAGACCAACACGGGGACTAATGTTCAGAGAAAGGTATTTAATTGGTATAAAAGGTAGCAAAAAAGACTGAGATGACAGGTGCCCACCAGTGTGCCTCCAGGGACCTGGGGAAGCCGTGGTGGTTGCAAGCAGAGCCCTTGCTCCTGAGGAACATACAAAATCCATCTCAAGTCGAAGCTTTCCCAGGGCCTGATATGAGGATGCTTGCTGGCCCCTGTGCATGAGGGCTTCACCTGACCATGCGCTTCCCACCTGGACTTCTGCCCCACAGACTATACCCTGAAGTATCAGATAATATTACTTGTGTGGTTTTCAATCTTTTTTCTTTAATCCCATAGTATTTAGACTGTTCTTAATATCCCCAGAATACAGACTCTGTTTCTCTGTGGGAGTCTTTCTTTTTTTAATTCTCAGTGGTGTAAGAGGAAAAGATTGGAAATATGAGTGCTAAAAAGATCAAATAAACGGAAGGCAGGGAACAAAAATCATCCATTTGATACGATTTTAAACCCAAGCCATCTGAACCAAAGCTTTTGGACCAGTTTTGGGCGTGGTTTGGCAATACCGTGGACCCTTCCTTCAGCTGCAGCAGAATCATGGCAGACAGCCTAAACATGGTGGGACAGAAGTTGCCTCTCCTCCACAGCAAGGATACAAAATACTTATGCTGTTCAATAGCATTTTGGCATTTGTCACTTGATGTATATTATGCGTACATACTTCTCATAGTCCGCTTCAGGGAAGTCCTTTCTATATTAAAGCAGAACAGGACTATAAAAGAGAAATGTTACCTCAGCAGAAATTCCTCCTGCCTGGTTGAACTGTGTGGCCTTTCCAATATCCAGAGTATAGATTGTTTTTTTTTTTCCTTTTTTAAATAGAAATAGGTAAGATGTATTTTTCAAACATGAAGCCCTACATTTTTGCTTGAGACAGACTTCTTCAGCAGAATAACATTCAAATCAAATTTATCTTCTACACCCACAAGCAAAATATTCATCAACTCTGCTGTAAACTCCATTTTCAAATACAATGGATGTATATAGGCTTTTACAGCACAATTGTGTACTTCTTAAACTCCTTCCTTCTGAAGAACCTGAAGCATTTTAAAATAACTTGGTCCCATAGCACCCCTGTGAGGTAGGTAAAATATCATTATTCCCATATATACAGATTGGGAAATTCAGCCACACAGAAGGTAAGTCATGCCCGAGCATCACACAGAGATGTGGCAGATCTGTGAATTAAAATCAAGCTCTCCTGGATCCCCCTCCTATCTGTTACATATAAGATCATCTCTCTTTCCTTAATTTTAAATTAAAAATAGATGATGGATGTTGAAATGATGATTTCCTTTTATTAGGCTCTCAGAAGGGCAAACACACAGGCAGAGATGGATTTTTCAAGGTGTTGACTAAGGTTTCCCAATTTTGATAAGGCTCCTGGAGCAGAAGTACAGTTGCGGAGCACACCCTTACTATTTTCACATGTCCCCAGAAATGTACGAAAACTGCTGAATTTTTCTGCTACTTTTGTAGTCACTGAAAAATAAGTGGCTGCTGTATGAATGCCTTTGTGCTACTGCAGCAACACCAGCAGACAGTCCAGTCTTTCTGCTCATGAATTCCTTGCTTAGTCTTCCTGATTTTTGCAATTTGTGAGTTTTGGTGAAAACCAGACATATTTCTAAATAGTTATTGTTAGAATAATGAATCAGAGGAGACTAAGCAAGCTAGAACAGCAGAAGGCGCCCTCGATGCACTGAGTATTTAAAATAATTGCCCTGATCCACATGATCATGGAGAGGTACAATATATAGGAAACTAGAAAATGCATTTTTCTTTTTACAGATTAAAATTTTAAAAGTAAGAAATCTGTGTTAAGTCACAACTACAGAGAAACTAACTCCCTGTCACCTGATGCAGAACCTTAGCCGCTAGGAAATCTGCCATGGATCATAGAGAGGTCAATGCTTGAGTACTTGATTTCTGCAAATATAGAAAGGCTAAAATGCTCGCCTTATACCTATTCCTAGAATAGAGACGGATATTGTAAGTTGTCCCTTCTCTGGATTCATGGAGCAGATTACCTAGAAAGGGCAACTAGACAGATAGTACAGATGAATTAATTGTCTCTCCCTCACCAAATCCAAGCTGCTAGCAAACATGTGTCAGTGTGTTGCTACCACAATTAACCCATCTATTTGGTGCAAAAAAATCTTAGAGAGAAATTAACAGTGACTGCACAAGTGTATTTGCTGTAAAAAGGTGGCTTTTCCACAACTGGTGTGGCTTAGGCATAATATCGGTCAGTGGGTGCAAAAACACCCTTCTACGAATTTCTTTTTTGTAATTTCAGCTTATATATTAAGTGTCTTTCACAGGTAGTTTGACGTTAACTGATTCATATACAGCAATTTGTATTGCAAACATGCTGCTCATACTGTAACCGAGGGACTGACATCTCCTTGCAATGAACACTTTGGAACAATTGATTTGTATTTTTATGAGCTTTCCTTATTTGCTACCTTGCAGCTCACCAGTGTAACTGCACCTGCTAAATACCTTTCTCTATGTACAATACAGAGATAATGGATATATGAGCTCCACTGAATCATCAGTAGGCGATCAACAACCCTGGGTTTAAGCAACTCTAACGTGAGGCTCCTCTTCTGTCTCCTGCCCCAGGCTGGTGTATGTTACCGAAGGCTCCAGCTGGCCGGTGGCTGGCAGGTCCACAACAGGTCCTGAAGGGTTTCGAAACTGCTTGTACACTCGAGGATCCTGGGCTACGTACGTGGACGTGGAAGAGTAGAGCACCAGCCCAACAAGGATAGTGAAGAACGACAACAAGTACAGTCCTGAAAACTAAGCAGAAATAAGAGTGGAGTCATTAGATACAGCCCCGGTTATCCTGGGCTCATGAAGACCCACAGACAGCCCCTTGTTTTGGCACACATTGCACAGGGCAGATCCCCTGTCACTGGGATGTCGACTTTTTATGGGAATGTCTCATTGAACGTTGATTCGCTCCCGTTAGCTCCCTTGTCTTCCATAACGAACAGCTAACCACTCCCTTCCCAGGGCCCAGGCATAGTAAGTATTGATCAGGTGGGACTTGGGAAAGTTATGTTCTGGTCACAGATCCAAAGCTGATTTTGTTGTGCTTTTAGACAAGCCAACTACTTCTCCGACTCCAGGTTCCTCCAGCTCCAGTGTTGGGTACTACCATCAACAGTTGTCTGACAGGTAGTAGACAAATTAGAAGTTAATTACAGCTAAACCACATGTCTGTGAAGTATAACATTCCGTTGGTAATAAAAAATATCATTAAATAAACATTTAAATAAGCATTTAAAACACATATACTTTTTAAAGTATATTTTTTTTTATAAAGGCACTTAAAATGCCCGCCTGCACCTTCTCTTGCTTGTGAACACAAAACAGATGCTAGAAGATATAATATGAATCTGGACACAATGTACTTCACCTGTGAAACATGCTCTCGGTTGACTTCAAGAGGTTTGAAGGTACGTACAGAGGCCAGTAAATTGAAAGTTCAAGCACACATATTTTGGCACACAGCTCCACTAGGTCAGAGCTCAGCCTGAATTTTCTGACCTATCCAGACTCAGTGTGGCTGGACTAAACATACAACAGAAATAACCTTTAAGGCAATATGTTACTCCTTGCAGATAAAGAGATATTTATTCATATATTTTTAATGAGTTTCAGTGTAAAACTGTGATATTGCAGGAATATTTTTTTAAAGATGCTTCAGAGTAATTTCTATTAAAAAATGCCTTTCTATAAAGAGCCAAGGCAGGGTTTCAAAAACACAGATAACTGGATATTCGATTTAGATAGTGTTATGGGGGACCCAAAAATAGCTTTAAGCCCATATGACTTGTCTCTCAATTCTAGACTGCAGGTTATTCCTGCATGCTCTGTGTGAGAAGCCATGAAGGACCAATTGTGTAGGCAGCTTGTTGGTGGGGACACAGAACTGGGGATCTATACACCAGTACTCATTGTGACTTTAAAAAGTGCCTGTATTCTGCAAATGTCAGGGATCCGTAGTTAAACAGCAACAACTAGCTGCAACCTGTTATTAGCTGTTCGGTGAAGTACTTCACTATTTTACAAGTCTGCAAGTCTGTTTTTTAATCCTAAATGACTACTGTGCTTTGGTGGATGATCGGTTTGTTTCCTCTGGATCATTTTAACATAGCACAAAAAAGGATAGAGCAAACTATATCATCTAAGAAGAAGCTTTTTAGCAATTGTGCTTTTTATATTTAAAGAAATAATCATTACTGTGAGATCAAATTTTACTTAAACTAACTTTGTAGTGACATTAATCTGTCACTACAGCTACAGAACCCACGTCCAGCTTCTCACCTGAGGAAACATTTGGCTTTTTTCCAAAATCCACAGTATCTTTGAGCATATAATTCATGTGACCGTATGTTTTTGTTTCCCACAGCTAATACGCACATTTTAGAGGGAAAGCACCATAATGAGTAAAGTTTAAAGTGTGTCAGGAGGACTACATGGTAGGAAGAGTTCTGCTTTTCATCAGCTGTTAATTGCTTTTTTTCCAGGAATGTCACCAGGTCTTCATATGCCACCTGGTAACATGATTTGATGTAATCATCCAGCTGTCCCACCAGCCACAAAAACACTGTTGAGCCTCACCCTGTGTCTGCTGAAGGATTGTCTCATGTGACACTGCTCTGATAGGACTGTTTAGGCTTAGATCTCCCCCATGTGGCAATCAAATCCAAGTCAATAATTTCAAAACATTTTCCAGTTGTTTGGGGTTTTTTTCACCCCATTTTCACTTCAGTTTTGCTCTGAGCATTTCCCCCCCCTACTTTCTCTTTGCATCTGAACTCGGGTACTGCTTGGCAGCACCAGACTTGATTAAGCAGAAGCAAAACTCAGGAGCCAAACACATCTAGTTTCCCAGGCCAGGAACTAGTTCCCTAGTTTCCCACTCCTTCCCAACGTAGGCCTGAATTTCTCACCCCGGACAGCCAGCTGGCTTGCTCCACAGTACAATCCGAGTGCCAGGCAGATTTGTGATTGCCTTGTGTCCTGCTGTGAGGAATCTATGGGGCTTCCAGCAGCTAAATGTGCCCTTTTTCTTGCTTTAGGAGCTGCCCAGCCAAAACCAATTCACTTTCATTTTAGTTCATGGCTCCAGCTCTACCACATACACCTCCTCCTGGCCATGCCGCTCATTCCTCTCCCAGGGGCTTCCTGCCAGTGGGCTCTTTTTCTCAATAATATTCTCTCCGTGGCAGTGTGTCCCCAACGTGGCAGATCTCCAGCCTGGGAAAAAGGGTTTGGATGAAGGTGGGGGAAATCTAAACAAAGGCTTGTGAATCATTTGTCTTTGGTATCTATGCACAGCTGGTGCAAAGAGACCTGGATCCTGACAGCCCTGTAACAATCCCATCTTTGCCTTCCTTAGAAACAAGTTAAGGTTCTGGCCGAATTATTTTCTGCAGCAGCTCTCTGCAGCATTGAAGAGTTGTTAGTAATGTTAATATAGGAATATATACTGTAGGTATATGAGAAATATCTGGTTTTTGTCAATACTCTGTCAGAATGACCCAAACCCCTCTGAAATCCACAGATATTTTTCTCCTATTAAATGGCAGTGAATCCAGTGGTGTGATGGGAAGATGCAGACTTAGATAATCAAATAAAAAAATTGTTGTTCACTGCACTATGATCCTCAGACTCCAGCTGAGACCTTTGTATTTTATTGAAGATAGGCTTTCCAGACACACTCTACTGCTCTGTCTACATGTAGGTTTTGGAGTTTTTTTATCTTGACCTGCAAACCTCATCTGCTGAGATGCACTATTAATGGACAACAAAAGAGACACATTCAAAATCAGCAGACAGAGCTATTCCTAAGGAATTAAGTGAGGGAAGATCACTTTTCACTGCTACCCTCTACACAACTGCAGTGCCAAACTGCAGACTCTCAGGAAGTCTGTAATTCCTCTCTCTGCCTAAAAAGCTACTTGAGAATGATATTGTGCTTCATTTTTCTGACTTCTCTCTCACTTTCTACAGAAACATATTTCCTCTACGAAAAAGTATTTTTAAATATCTAGATATGTGCATCTCTGCTGACTGGCTGTTGCAGAAGGAACCTGCAAACAAGTAGTGATGTCACTGATGTTCACATCCACGTTACCACTGACACCACTGACACTAGGGCGAAACAATATCCAAAGTGACAAAAAAGACAGACGTGAGTCTGCAGAGAAGCCCACACAGGCAAAGAAACTCAATGATTTGCGGATTTATTTTTTTTACTCGGTTATCATTATAATGATCATGACCATATTAGAATGGTTATGAAAATGCAGATTCTCTTTCACTCGGTCCCTTGAACTGGAAATGGTATGCAGGAGCAGACTACTGGAGCTGCAGTGCTCCAGTCCCATTTGTGTTTCACAACAGCAGCCACAGACTGAATCTCTTGGTAGGTAATATGAAGCCCAGCTCCTAGCCTATGGCAACCCAACTGTGCTTTTTAAGTCTTTAAGAGGAATTTTTTGTTGTAGGAATATTTAGAATTGTCATATTTCATGTATTCAGTGATGAAGTACAGAGCAGAATAACTACCTTTTCCCCTACCTTATCTAAAAATTTTCCACATTTTGATAAAAATGCATAAAGAAATCAGGTCTATGAATTCAAATTTTAAACCTTAAAAGAGAAGTGATCTCCTAAGAACCACATTGATGAAGAAGGACAAAAATGTACACATCAGGTGGAATTAATTTAGTCCTGTATTTCTGCTGACATCCTCCATGCTCTCCAGACAGGCAGTTTCCACCACTGTCTTATTCCAATCAGTGGGTCTGTGCAGTCCGATGAACCTCTCTGTTTTCAAAACTAATTCAGTTTGAAGCATGTGCTGCACAGCCCACCAAAGCTAAGGTCAACAGGGGTTCTTGAACTGACTTATGTCTTTTACCCCTGGGTAATTTCACACATGAGTACCTGAGTGGTCTGAGCAAAGGGAGTTAAAACCAAATTTCTCTCATTATCTTTTATATAGCAAACAGACTTGGTTTGATGAACTGATCAAGAGAGTGAGCTTCTTTTCACATTGTGTTCTATTTTCACCTCCAACACAGCAAATGAAGTTCACTGTGACCAAGGGCAGAAGTTGCACTGAGGGATGCATGCTCTCTCCAGCCAGCAGCAGTACTAGGGAGAGTGAGAGTTCTGGGAGCTATGAATTCACGCAGTGCTTTCACTTTCGTAGCTGGATATTACAAACATATAACTTTATTAACACGAACGGGAGCCAGCATCCTAGTCGCAGCTCATAGTGCTCCCTGATGACTCCCTCAGCTCAGACCCACCAGGATCTGGCCAAATTTGTCTTAGGTTGGGACTGTGACTCACTCAACCTACTGCTGCTGATTTTTGTTCCAGCCTGTGAGGAAGAAGTCCCTTTGGGATTTAGGATCTCCTCTGCTCTTTACTGGGAGAACGTTCTGCTGGTTAAGCCTCCATTACTGCTGTCTACCTTCAGGGGGGAGAGATAAAGCCCCAACCTTTGGCTGATCACCGATCTCAGGTGGGACTTATGGGCAGAATATTTCCTAGGAATACACAGACCTCTTTCCAAATGGCCTGCAGATCTGAGCCCTAGGCAGGTGATGATATATCTTTGTCATCAACAGCAATTGGAGCAGCCATCAACAGTGAAACACAGTATTTTGTAAAACCCAAATGGCACCAAACAGCAGAAGGGCTGCTTTCAGTTTTTCAGATTGCGTTTGAATAGACAATACTTGTACACCTGAACTTTTATATGTACTGCCAGA